GCTTCGCTGATTTTGTAAGTAATGACAGTTACTATATCAGCAGTGGACCGAGCAGATCGAAACCGGTATCGTTCGTCGCTTAAGAGGTTATCTCTATTGAGGCACTCGACAACTTTCTTGTTGATTAGAGCATCAAAGATTGAAACGAGGATGAGCACTCACCCGCATTCTTAAAAAGTGGACCTTCCATAGCATTGCTAAGAATTTCTTCTTTAGGCAACGGTTGGGAATTTTTTATAAGATTGGAGATAACTCAGGGGTAATATTCTTAAGGGCAACCGTCGGATTTTTATCTGGGCCGGTAGCTTCTTTAGATTCAAGGTTTTTGATAAATCTTGAGATTTCTCGGAATATGATAGAAATATTAATGTTTGTTCTCCGGAACGCTGGGTAGCGCACGACCCTTGTCATCTAACTGAGAGTTTGAAGCAAAGATCTTTGAGAAGAGCTTTACTTTATCTGACAAGTATGAGATAACATCAGGGCCATTTATGATAGTAGGCACTGATGCTTTGTCTGGATTGAGGATTTGATTAGAGATTTTCCAGGACTCACGTGATTCAAATCATTTGGTTTCGACATTGGCTTGGATCTCTCGTGCATAACTGCACTTTGCATTTTCAAGAACTCTCTTGCAACGATTCTATCTCGGCAGTTCTAAATTCAGCAAAGTCCTTACCACACCATTCTCTGTGATTGATATCGCAGTAATGGGTATGGTGAGCTATGGCTGCAGTACATTCTGAAGTAAAGCAGAATCTATCGTGTTTTTTTTTTGTTTTTTTTTTATATAGACATAAGAGTTGCATCATATTTCTCGTAATCTTCTCAGTACAGCTTCCGGTGGTTCAGTTTTGAATTTAAAATTATCCTTCTACTGGTTAGCGAGCTAGACTGCATTAGATTGTAACGAACCCGACCAGAATTCGAAATCGACCCGCCGATTTCCCGTCTCAAGAACCTGACATTAGTGTACCTACACACCCAGTAACTGAAGCTGCCATCTCTAAACGTCCAATACTTTGAGAATTGGCGCAAAATCAACCTTCCTATGCTATTCGACCTTTTTACTGTAGAAAATAAATATAACGCTTTCTTTTATTTATTTATAGCCTTTTCAGACGAGTGGTTGCTTTGGGTATCGTGTAACGATAACTTTTCCAAAATTTCTGTTATCTTCTTTGGCATTATAGCAGACTCAAACATTTTGGTAGTCTGCAAAATCTCAACCCATCCTTGAATCTCAAATTTAGGTTGATTTTTTTTTTTTTTATCTAAAGTTCACACAACACAAGAGTCACTCAAGATAGAGTGTTACTCAATGAGTTGTGTGATGTGAATGTAAGAGGGTGTGTAAGGAATTAAGATTATGAGGATAAAGAGGGTAAATAACGATTGACACCGCTATTAATGTATACTCCCCAACCCCCGTTTGGTAATTTTTCTTATTTTAAAAACATTTTTGTTGAATTTTAATAAAAACATATCATATGAAATTGAATTTACACATTTTTTTCGAGAATTGTAAAAGTCTATTTATTCAATTGTGTATTTATAAGATTATTAATTTATAATTTGGGACTATTTATTGTTTATTTATAAGCTTATTTATTTATAAAAAGTGACTATTTTTTATTTATAAGATTATTAATTCATAATCTGTGATTAATCAATTATGTATTTATAAGATTATTAATTTATAATTTGGGACTATTTATTGTTTATTTATAAGCTTATTTATTTATAAAAAGTGACTATTTTTTATTTATAAGATTATTAATTCATAATCTGTGATTAATCAATTATGTATTTATAAGATTATTAATTTATAATTTGGGACTATTTATTGTTTATTTATAAGCTTATTAATTTATAAAATGTGACTATTTTTTATTCATAAGATTATTAATTCATAATCTGTGACTATTCACTTCTTTATAAGCTTATTAAGTTACAATCTGTGACTATTCAATTGTTTATTTATAAGATTATTAATTTATAATCCGTGACTATTCAATTGTTTATGCATAAGATTATTAATTTATAAAAAGTGATTAACTATAACTATATAGAAATAAAATGGTTTTGTTTTGCACTTTTTTGCTTATACCCCTTAAAATAAAGACCCTCTATAATTTTTATGATTTTAAAACATTATTTTAATAAAACTATAACATAAAACAGAAATAAGTATAAAGCAGTATCTCTCCCATTGCATTTATAGGGTTGAAGTTGATGCTTGAAGAGACCCATTGAGGAATTTTCCGTTCGAGTTGATGTACTAACAGATACCTACCACTTTTCATCATTTCGTCCGGCTCTACGCACCTACTTCAGAAATACCCCCCCCCTAAAAATATAAAACTGACTCATAAAACATCTTTTCTTGCCAGTCCCAAAAAAATCCCCCTCCCCCGGTTTTCACAGAAGCCGTTTCTGAGTCACTAACTCACTATAAGCTCAACGCTGATTTCCCACACAAAATCAGGTTGGCATTAGCGGCGGACCCCACAGCAGGCAAGCTTAGACAAGCCATCAACAGCGATACCAAAGTGCTTCCATCAATGTCGATGGCTTCGTCTCTCGACAAAATCATCAGCAGCAGAGACTAACTCTCGACTACTAAAATGCAATGATTCGTGGAATACCACAAGTCTACCTCACTCGACCACGTAGGCGTGTTGATTTTTTCACGTGTCTATCTCGACTGCTAACTTGTGTTATACCCTGAACAAACTGTCAGTTTCCTATGGCTGATATACGTTATCCAGGAACGAGCATACAATTTATGTATTGTGTGTATTGGTGTTTGTGTTTTACATTACAATTGTGATAAGGTTCATGTTATAAAAGGGAATAAATTACATAGTCCTATCACGGAGGAAACTTACATGCGTGTTGTCATCCCGACAGTCCTTGAACGAAGATGTTGATGGGGTGTCTCTTAGCGGGAGCAACAGTCCCTGTTGCATGCTTGGAGTAATTTTATTATTTTTAGTTTTTATTTATTTATTTTAAACGAGGTTTAAATTTTATTTTATTTATAATTTTCATCATTATTATTATTTTATATTTTATTTATAATAATAACAATGTTCCCACAACGCCATTGCTACTAATGCCTTACCATTATGCGGGAGATATTTCTGGGGGGTATTTCTACCGCACCTTGTATTATCCTTGGGGCCTCTTGAGGCTTAAATCCGACCATAGCCGCAGCACATAGAAGAAGAAGATATTGAAAAATATTCAACTCAAAAATGAAATATAAAATTATTAAAAAAATTCTTCGACATATATTTTTCCTTTATTGTGGAAGAATGAATACTTTGCGACTATTTGTTTAAGTCCTCTTTGAATTCAAACAGAACTAAGTAATCTGTTTTTCACTTTACTTTCGGAGTAGTTTTATACAACAATTGTTCTTTAACGTCGGTTTTTTCTTTAAGATATATATAAAAAATTTCTCTCTTTTTAAAAGTAACTTCTCCTCAGTGATTTTTTCTCAAAGAAATGTTTTCTGCTAGAATGAAAATAGGTCAGGAATATATTTATAACAAACACTAAAGACTACTTCGTTTTATTTTTACAATAACTATTTTTTTTTTTGCTCAAGAAAAGTCCACGCCATTATTGACAATGAAGGTCACTCGTTTGTCTCTCTCGACACGGGACGATTTACTTATATATAATTTCTGCCTTGTGTACAACATATGATTAAGAAAAATATTGTTAAAGAAATCCTTCGGTTAGATTTTTTTTTCTCTATCCTTTTTTGGTTTAGTCTCTTACTCGTCCTTCTATTCTTCTTTCGATCCTCCACCTGTTAATGTCAAGTTTCTCTATGCTTCCTCGATTCCAGACCTACTCTCTTTTGATAATCTATCTATCTATCTATCTATCTATCTATCTATCTATCTATCTATCTATCTAAATTAGTATTTTTGTTCAGTATTTATTTTGCCTTTATCCATAAACTTTGTGAGCCCCAAAATAGATAGATAGATAGATAGATATGAGCAGACTGAGATAGCTAGCTTGATAGCTGTGGATAGATAGATATGAGCAGACTGAGATAGCTAGCTAGATAGCTGTGGATAGATAGATAGATAGATAGATAGATAGATAGATAGATAGATAGATCAAACGGACACACACACACACACACACACACACACACACACACACACACATATATATATAGATAGATAGATAGATAGATAGATAGATATGAGCAGACTTATTAGCGAATGGTTTTATCCTCTATCAAAAGAGGTAAAAATTGTCGCCACCACCGTCCGCTAACAGAGCTAGTTTTAGGAATAGTACCGATAGGTAGAGAAAAAAGAGAGATGAAAATTAGATAGATAGATAGATAGATAGATAGATAGAACTGACATATTCCCTGTAACTTTGTTATTTAATCTTTCCCGCTCCAACTTTATCTCAGCTAATCTTCGACCAATCAACGCACATCTAAACGATTCAAACACACGCTTCTCGCATATCTCCAGTCTACTGTCTTTCTGTTGCGAATGTAGAACATGTATTGTAGTGGTTTATTTGAGTCAAATTTGCGAGTGTTTACCCACCTATATGAACACTTGCTCGTTCTCCCATTCTCGGCGTTTTTCTTCTTTTTACTCTCTCTTTTATATATCTGTCTATCTGTCATTTTAACGACTTTTCAAAATATTCGTTTTGAATTTTGAATATCTATCTATCTATCTATCTATCTATCTATCTATCTATCTATCTATCCCAGTCAGTTCATATCTATCTTTCACAGTCTGTTCAAATTTATCTATCTATCTATCTATCTATCTATCTATCTATCTATCTATCTATCTATCTCACTAAATAACTACATAACATTCTTTAACACTGAATATAAAAATATACAATTCCAGTGAGTGAACATCTATGTGTGTGCGCGTGTGCGTGCGCATTCTTAACTCGTAGATGGAATTGTTGTATAGTTCCTTCTATATTCCGGGCTTACTGTCACATCACTGAGAAAACAACCGGTTCCCGCACGACCACCGACGTTAAGCAACGTTGAGTCTGGCCACTACCTAGATGGGTGACCACTTGGGAATACCAGGTGCTGCAAGCGGTTGATGTAAAAGATAATGGCTTGGAATCGTTAACCGGAGAGCCGAGTTCCGATTCCCTTTGGGCTAGTTATATTCACTTACGCGCAAATACCCTTGGGAAACATATGGAACCACCTCCTCGCCCCCCCCAGCTATGGGTTAATTAAGTAAAACTTATATTACTAAACTGTTATTATGTGCCAAAAACTTCTACAATCTAAATCTGGCTTTAAATAACCTGCAATGGGTTGATAAACCGTAGAAAACGAATCAATCAGTCCTTCTATATTCCGTGTTTGTAGTTAAGGTACAGATATATTTACCTGGCACCCCACCAAGACTGGATGTGACACAGGGTTGTTTTAACTTAGAGGGCGTCATTCGCATATTTATGCATATGGACAAAGGACAAAAATTGTTTTTTGCCCAGCCCCCACAACCACTGTCACGCTGGCATTAGTATTAGACCGATCCAACCTCATTAGTGCAAAGAGGGAGGTGCTGTCAAAGGGTTGGAATCTCTAGGGCTGAGAAATTTATCCGTCTAAAATGAAGTGAAGCATAGCTCCTCTTACGGCACACGGTTGAAATAACCACACCTCAGTAAGCCCTCATTTGTCAATAGTAAACTCCTGTGCCAGGTAAGTAATTCAGGTACAGGTATATGATTTTAAACGCTGTTGTTTATTTTCAAATCAGACACACTACTGTAAGCAGGCCCATCGCCAGTGTGTTTTGAGCGGAGTGGGCGAAATTCGAATGACTCGAGTAAGAATTTGCTCGCTAAGATTAATCCACATTATTTCTCCAGTCCAGGGTGGAGGAAAGTAAATTTCAGTAGGGGTAACGCACCCTAGACAACAAGCATGCTAATACGTATATTTATAAGTAAAAATTATAAAATGAATGAATATATATATATATATATATATATATATATATATATATATATATATATATATATATAGGATATTTTCATGAGATTTTATATATATACGATTGTTTTTTTTTCTTTATTTTATCTATTTTTGCTTCGCAAGTTAATTTCTCTTTACAAACATTGTTTTATTCATTCCACACACACACACACATACACACACACACACACACATTTGTGTTTGTGTCTGTGTCTCTGACTACTTCGCCGTTTTTGTTGCTGTTATCATAAGGTTTTAGCTGATCATTTCTTTGGTTGTTCAATTAAATTTTTTTGTGTTTTTGTCATGAGCCTGCATGTAACAAGGTTGTAAAGAACTCAAGCTCAAACGTTGATTTAAAACTGGAAAAAAAACCTTCTATTATACTGCAGGGGAGTTATAAATTTGAGTAAACAATTATAAAGTCCCAAACATTTATATATACAAAACTACTTGTAAAAATGAGAAACAGCAAAACAACTGTAGTTGTAGCAGTTTAAAATAAAACTTAGCAGCAGGTCTCGAATATAAAAACACGTAAATTTTAAAGTAACTTTCTCTTCCAGATTTTTCCCCTTTCAAACTGGTGTCATGAATTTTCTACGCTGGACCTAAAAGAGCTGTAGACGCTACACCCATAAAACACACCACTAGTAAGTCTCATTCAAGCATATTGATAAACATTTCGTTGTGCATATAATTTACGTCTAACAAAAGAAAGTTTTATTTTAAACTTTCTTTTTGTTAATTTGTCTAATAAACGCTATCTTGCGTTGCAATTCAATTGCTTGGTTATTTTATGCATGTATTCTTTTTCACCACCATTATTTCATGTACTACAAAATGTTTCTGTCAGAAACCTTACGCATTTAATTACTGAAGTAATTAATTGAACAACAAAACGTGTATTATTTATTATCTGGTTGTTATGTGATGGAGACATGAGAGACTGTAATATTGAGTAAAATTATGAGTTTGGGGTCAAATATAAATCAAATATGGATCGGAATCCAACAGAATGGTAAGATAAACGCCCCTGAAATGAGACGGAGTGTAAAAAGGACGGATTTTTTATTGGTACCACTATTATTTTCACTACCTCCACTCTTCGGCAATGTTTATTGTCTTAAAAAGTGATGATTAGAATCGCAATAAAACCTAAATATATGATGAAAGTGAATTTATACATTTTATTTGTTGTAGAGAATTGACAACAAAAAACAATAAACACTATTTATTATATTATTTATTGGAATGGCTGACAAAACATCGGCTAAAAATTTTTATTGAATATTTATTTCACATGAAATAGAATCTTTAAAATTTAAAGCGCCTCCCACAATTCTAGCTGTTCTACAAATGCGCCCTGAAATTAAAAAAAAAAAATGTTGAGAAACACTCGTCTAGAATTACGGTCGAGCATCTGTTGCTCTAGTCAAAGTTTCGACTAGCGTGGGGTCTGTGTATCTTCTTTTCGTTGGATGCCTTAGACACCTGGGCCAGTGTCTTATATATCCAGTATACACCGTTATCCGAAGCCACGTATTTTTTTTTTTTTTTTTTATAGCTTCTGGTGACAATTAATTTTGGCGGGTTTTCTGGCATTGAAAATCTTTCGGACATTTCCGTTTATAATTTTTATAGAAGAAGCATTGGGCAAAAGTTCCTACCCTTATATCCTGTAACACAACTGGGGTAGCAAGATTTGTCAAACATTACTGCATGGCATAACAAATTCTGATGATGAGAAATGTAAAATTAAAACTATTTTTTTATTCCAAAATTTTTGTTTTGGTTAAATTTGAAAGTTATCTTTTCCAGTTCAAAATCTATTTGTTCATTATTTACTTTTATTATCTATTCATTATGTAATTATTCCACTATTATTTTATTTATTTTATTATTCCATTAATATTTTATTAATTTACATTAATATCTTTATTAATAGTTTATATATTTTTTTATTATTTCATTTTTCATCATTATTTTATTATTATTCATTATATATTTTATTATTATTTTATTTCATTTTAACATTATTCTATTTATTATCTTGTTATTTATTCATTATTTATTTTTCATTTTTTATTCGAACTTCTTGCAATTTAATGGCTAAAGAACAGATTTGTTTTAAATGCGATCAAAAATTGAAGAATCTGTTTCAAATTTAAGAGAAAACTTATGTAAAATAATTTTTTTTCAGAATTTCAAAACATTTTCTTAATACTTAAAAAAAGCATCAATAACTAAACAATGGTTAGTTAAATTAGTTATTTACTCTCTATTGTACCTAGTCTACTTTGTGGTGTCTAGGTGAGTTCCATATGACTTACCGGCATATTAACGCAATGTAAATTCAGCATGAAATAACCAGGAAATATAAAATTGAATGAAATTTTCTAGAGCCTATTATGTTTTCCTCTTGGGGGAGATTTGTAAATTCAAAGTTTAACATTCATTGACTTATGTATGACACAGGATGATTTTTTTTTTTTTTGTGATTCAAATCTTGAAAATAAATAAATAAAATAAAAGCAAAGAATTAAATTTCGATTATGTAATTTCCTGTCATTTTTAACTGATTTGAATCTGAGAGAAAACTCTTAAAACAAAAATCCAAAAACAAATGTCTTTTTATGTTACGAGACATATTTTCATCTTGCAGTCGGTCGTAAGCGTTTTTTTTTTTTTTTTTTTTTTACAAGTAGATCTTCGTTAAAGAGGAACATTTTTTTGTATCCCAAATGTGAACAAACAACTGGCGCCTCATTTATCGTCTCCTCACTTTATAGTATAAGTTACTCACTCTGTTTATTGCTAATAAGAGAAGTTACTCACTCTCTGTTTAGTCATTAGTGCTAATAAGAGATGACAAACGCAGGATGTAATTTGCGCCAATTTAACTACTGTTATTATTAACTAAATTTAAATGATCCTTGTTTAAACCTGTAATCCTAATTTGTTACAAACTTATTTCTTCTTTTATGTGTCATGTCAGTACATGACATGGGCGATCATGGCTCTCCACAATTTCCTGTCTTTAGTCGTTTTATGTAACTTTAGATCCTTTACCACTGTGGTCCTCAACCACCGGGCCCGACGGTACGGTGCAGGGTCGTGGACCATTTGTTACCGGGTCATGGACCCTTTGGCACTCGATCGTGGACCATTTGGTATTGGGCCATAGACCATTTGGTATCGGGCCAGGACCATTTAGTAACAGGCTGTGAACCATTTGGTGCTAAGATGCAGAACATTTATTATTGGGCCGTGGACCATTTGGTACCGGGTCATGGACCATTTGGTACCAGGCCATGGACCATTTGGCACCCGATCGTAGGCCATTTGGTATCGTGCCATGGGCCATTAACGTATCGGGCCAGGGACCATTTAGTAACAGGCTGTGAACCATTTGGTACTGAGACGCAGAACATTTATTGTTGGGCTGTGGACCATTTGTACCGGGCCATGGACCATTTGGCACCCGACTGTGGACCATTTGATATCGGGCCGTTGGCCATTTGGTACCAGGCCATGGACCATTTGGCACTCGACCGTGGACCATTTGGTATCGGGCCATGGACCATCTGGTATCGGGCCAGGGACCATTTAGTAACAGGCTCTGAACCATTTGGTACTGAGATGCAGAACATTTATTATTGGACCGTGGAGCATTTGGTACCGGGCCATGGACTATTTGGCACCCGACCGTGGACCATCTGGTACCGGGCCGTATCTAAAAAATAAAAATTTCTTCTTTTTTTCCCATTTTATTGAATATCGCAGTCATGTTTATTGTGTTTTGTTAAGCACGTGACAGGCACCAAACTTCTCTCACCGCGGTACTTGAAAAAAGTCCCTTGCATAACACCGGTCCGTGGCGCAAAAAGGTTTGGGACCGCTGCTTTATCAGCCTCTTTTCCCATGTTCCGCCATCCATTCGAACAAACACGTTAAGAAGGTTACACGCTTTCCACACTGATTCCTTTGCATTCAGTATGGTGATTTTCTAAGCTACGCTTAGATGTAGCACAAAGCGGAAAATATGAAGCACCCGGTAAGGATCGAACTCACCACTCAGTTATAATTGATCTAGTGAGA